GGGAGAAAGTAAATAAATTATTAATTAGCAAAATTCAATGTACGTGTGCCGTTCGTTGCGCATCAAACTTAACTTTTCGGTCAACTTTCGTTCTCGATTTAAATGATTGATCGTCCTCACGGACGAAAAATGCTTGTTGTTTTCAATAGGCACCCTGCTGGTTTTCATTCTTTCGACCACCACTTTCGCCCACCGTCATCGTTCAGTAGGGGAGACCGGGGCTCGTTGGCACAAGAGCCAAGTTGGCAATGCGTTCCGTTTATGTATTTATAGCGAAAGAAATAATGGAAAAGTTATCACAAAATATCTCTTTTATGATATAGGTGCTTTTCCCAAAGTTTTATTTAAATCAAATAAGTATTACAATAAAAAAGAGAAAACTAATTCAAGAGGTGGCAAGTAAATTTTCGAGCGTTTCAAAATATCGTATTAATGCTCTTCAGCTTGAGAAGTAAATCAAAGTAACGTATTATTAGTTAAAAAAAAAGTTTCTATTACTATACGACATGTCATTTTGAGGAACAACAGTAATTTATTGTAAGAAAATGACTGAAATCAAACGTATGTAAGGATGGGGTATGTTGGCTCATATCAAAGCATGGCATGCTTAGCTTGACTTGTTATTGCCGCGCGCGTGAGACCTGTGTGATGTGTGATGAGCATGTGATTTGCTACCTACAATGCTGATAGAAACTAGATATATATTTATATTAATATTTTTATATTGAAGAAAACTATATCTAAAATAGTTTACAATTGTTCTTCTGCAACAGCATTTTGCTGTTCGATTATTAAAAAATAACTTTAAAAGATACAATCTTTATCAAGAAGTACACATCTGTTACCCGTTTTGTGTTTCTATTACGTTTTCATTAATTTAACATGGACTTTTGTCGCATAGTCAACTTAACCCTACTATCGGGGCAAGTTGGTTACAATGCAGCATGTTGGTATTTCACTTATTATACAAAGAAACTATACAGTATACAAGAGCGTGCCTGGCATGAAAATGTAGAGAAAGGTTCTCTCTATCCTATTAATACTGTTTAATCATGAAAATTAGTTTTTTAAAGGCTTAAATGCCGAAATTGTGAAAACGCTGCCAACAAGCACCGGTCTCCCCTAGTGTACTACCGACGCCTCCTCGACCAAAACAAAAAAAAAGAAAAAAAGAAAAAAAATGCAGAAAAATAATCCTTTTCTAAATAGAAATAAAAATAAAATAGCATTAAAATAAGCGCGCCGTATAACATGTGTACGTACCAAAACGTGATTTACACATCGTTATTATAATTCCTTTATTTTTCAGAAATTGTCTTTCCGAATCTTCCCCGCGAATACTCTACCGCTTTACTTTCTCACGCATCAAGATAATTAAAATCAATCAGATAACCTGTCATTTGTGATTTATCGAAACATGATTTCCGCGCTGACAAGTTTCTCTCGCAGAACGAAACAATTAGCCAAGCAAGAGAACCAATCAGCATCGCGGAAAACGGGCGACATGAATTCAATTCGATTTAACATGGTTTTTTAAAGAGTGGATCCGTACGTTCAAATGGATCAATGCGTACAATGTGTTGTGGAAACACTTGATTTGTTTTGATAAAAAAAAAAAAAAAAAGTCCGTTGCAGAAAAATTTTCTCCCAATTATAGAGTATCCGCATAATTTAATTTTTTACTTTTTTAGCATAAAATTTAAAAAATGCAAAATTTTACGCTGTTTTCAAAATTATCGCCGACATCAGCTTCTCTTAAGGAGGTTGGTTGCTCAAATCAATATGATAAAAATTAGTTTAAATTTATGGAGGATATTTATGGAGTCTATGGAAATCTGTCGTCCATGCCAAAGTTGAAGACAATTGTCTGCATGGTTTTCGAGTAGGTAATTAATCATTGAAGTTATACTCTCTCTTTCTCTTACTACATACACTAAGAAAAAAATGGTTAATCCGAAAAAATATTTAGCCCAATACGTTCAACCAAACATTTTAGTTAATTAACTAAACATTAGTTGTTCCAGTAATTTATTTAGTTTCTTTAATCAAACATTAATTAATTCAACTAATATTTAGTTAACTAAACTAAAACTAAAATGTTTAGTTGAACGTATCGGACTAATTAATAGATAGACTAAGAAATATTTTTTGGGATTAACAAATTTTTTTTCCTTAGTGTAGCAAAAATGTTACGACACCTATAATGTAATTCGCGAAAGCATATTAAAAATGATAAGAATTTAATGAAAATAGGTGCAAATAATTCTTTACATAATTATAGAAAGAACTTTTACGAAATGATTTGTCTACATATAGTTATCAAAAAATTGTAAAAATAAAATAGCATATTGCCACATTTCAACGTATTTCGGTTTTAATTGTACAAACAACGATTTAAAACTTAAAAAACAGCTAATTAAATGCATTCCATATATTCATTTGCTAAAACTTGTTTATTTCACGCGTCAAAAAATTTGATTATTTAGAGTTGGCCCCGCGGGGCAGGTGGCGAGAGAAGGAACGGCTGCCAGCTCTAAAGGTGAAATTTCATAGGCAGTGAAAAGTAGCAGCAGATCGTACTGATTGGCTACAAAATAGAGAAGTTCTAGGAACTCGAGAACTTCTCTATTTTATAGCCAATCAATACAATCTGCTGCTGCTTTTCACTGCCCATGAAATTTCACCTTAAATAATCAAATTTTTTAATATGTAACGGCAACCAACCTCCTTAAAGCGTACCACCTAGAAATTGTATGGTCGAATTTGCGCTTTATTGTGCATATCCATTTAAACATACGAATCATATATTATTTAAAAAATTATCACAACAGGTCTGATTTTTTTTCAAGTTTAGAGTACTAAGAGGCTCCAAAATTTCAGTCAATAAAATTTCTTTAGTATATAAAGTATTTTTTTAATAGCGAAACTATGCCTATTATCTCCCTTGTCCCTAATCCCCCATATTAAATCTGTTACGTGTTGTATTTTCTCGGTGGGCACCCAGATAGCACAGCTGATCTTTATGAATTCAAAAAGATCTGAATCTGATCTTTATGAATTCATAAAGATCAACTGTGCTATCTGGGCAGTGGAAATTGTTGAACAACGCTGTTTAGACATTTTTTTATTTTACTTCAGTCAGAAGTGTGATATAACGCGTAGCGTTGCAGATCATAGTTTGAACGAGGTTTTGAAATTTTTCAAGAAGTGTCTTGTATATTATTAGTACAGCAAAAAGGGTTGTATCAAAAATCAATTTTTGTCATAAAAACATGTGATATTGTGTCTAATTTCATTCCTCAATTGGAAACGCATGTTGCTAACCATTGTTGAGTGTTTCGTTTTTAAAGGTTTGGAATAAGGATAATCTTGTCCGGTGGCTTCGGCCGGTATTCATAAGTTATTTAAGACCGTCTTAAGTTAAATCTTAAGATGTCATGAACCAATCACAGAGCCGTATTAGCGTCTTAAGACATTACTTAAGACTATCTTGAAGACTATGAATACCGGCCTTCAACCGATTTTTTTACACAAAACTTCTACCTGGTTCGTGATACTCTTTGTACGTGACTCTTATCTCTTTTCCCGAATTGTGTGTTTATATGGATATGTCACTGTGTATGTGTGTGTGTGTGTGTGTGTGTTCGCGAGTAGCATCGAGTCCGTAAGTTCATTAAGCTCAAAGGATTATACGGATCAGTCTTACCTGCCGTGACCATTGTTGATGGTTTAGTCAGTTATGTTTCTTCATGTGGTTCCTAATTCTTAATTCCGCCCTCTCGGGAGTAGGGTTATCGGATTTGAATGCCTGCATGAGGACTAAAAACTTTTGACGAGCAAAAAAAAGGACATTGCAGAGGCCTTATAATCTAACTACGTTTCAATCATAAGATATATATATTTTAAATACACTCACACGTAAAAAAATGAGCCACTTGAAATCAGCGCTAAAAAGCACCAAATTCGAAGTTACATATCTTTGCGAAAAACGATCGCAGAGTGATGTTTAAAAAAGCGTTTTAAAGCTTGAATCCTCAGCTTTAGAATGCTTCAAGGCTTCTTCTCTACGAAGATTTTATTACGGCGCAAATTTAAAGTGAACCTTGCAAAATTGAAGAAAAAACTTCAACTTTCAAAGCGTGCACGTTGAAAACGAAATTTATTCTCCAAATTTTATCAATTGTATCGTAAAATTTAACATTTTCTCTTTACAATACTTTTTTAATCATTGTGCTACCATTTTTTTTTCACTGAGTTAAGTATGACAATTTGAAGTGAGTAGTGCATTTTCAGGTCCTTTTCTCTAAAAATCTATATTCTGCCGCCGATATTCGTATCTTTTGAAACTGTTCCGTTGACAAAATGATGCAAATGACAAATTGCAATGTTTATACGGGAGTGACAAACCGCGGGATACTTATCTCCGCTAGGCTGTGACATACACACACACACACACACGCACTCGCACAAGATTTAACTCCGACTAAATGGAGTATTTTGGGTCGAGCAATTTATACAGATAATGACAGTAGTCATTTTAAGTGATGTGAGTAGAGCTTTTCAAACACAATAACTTCGATCGATTTTGAGAAAAAATTGAATAATTATCGTCTTTCACGGGGAAGTTACACGGTCGGACTTACACCTCGTGCATGTGTATGTGTGTACGTCAAATGCTACTTTTTTTATAGAAAAAACAGTTAAAATAAACATTGAACACATTTATACCATTGAGATCACATTACGACAAACCTATAGAATAAAATGATACGGTTTAGTTATATTTTTATATATATTAAGATTTTTTAATTAAAACTTTAGTTTTATAAAATAGAATGCGTATAAGGCATAGCTTCCTTATATGTGCATATACATATATGTTTATTTATATTACGTATACAATATAATAATTAAATATAAATAAGCATTTTAATGAAATATATCATCTTTAGTAAATTAATTTTTTATAAATAGTCATTCTGTAAAAAAAATTTCTTTTAGAGATAAGATGCATGAGAGCGGGCTGATTTTCTCGTGTCTTTCGTATTCATAAGCGGTATGAACATGAACACCTTTGCTTCGTTTTCCAAAGCCGTACGATTCTCTCTCCATCAGTTACACCGAAATGCATATCGTGTCAAGTGGTGGGGATATCTCAGTATCCCACCACGTTCTACTGCTCACTACCGCCTTTACCCCTCTACTGGACCCTACTCCTATATTAGTCCTACTAGCAGTACTAGCCCTCTACTGGCCGGCTAGTGGCTAGTCTCTGCCAGTCTCTGGTCTCGGGTTCTCTTAGTCCGATACTCGTCACTGACTGCGTCGGACACAGAGGCAGACTAGTATAGGTTCTCTGGGCAAACTTATGAGAACGGTGTCAGTGTGTGTGGACAGTACAGTACGCGCGGTATAGGCGAACCGTCTGGAACCGTCTCGTGGCCGGGTCCGCATCCGCAGTGTCCGTACCTCCGCAAACGTGGCGATCACGTGTACGAGTGCTCTCGCGCGTGTGGAACTACCGGTCGGGATTCGCGCAGCGTTTTTCGGGCAACGTTATTTTTTCTCGCTCTTGCTCCGCGAATATCGGTGCGTGGTGTTACGCGAACAAGATGTTCCAGTACTCCGAGCGGTATCAAGCGGATTATCCGCTGCTCGCTCCGCCGATGAATGAGGTTCGTGGAGCTTTACCATTTGACGCGCGCCGTCGCATGGCGTTAACGTGATCGAACGGAACGATAAAGCGAACAGCAGCGTAGATCCCAGAGGCGACGTCGCGTCCTAATAATCCAGCCGGACATCCAGAATCGTGTCCACGCGGAATGTCAGCCAGTCAGCCCGCGCTATAATCTCCGGAGGCGTGGTGTCTGACGCTGACGCGCGGCGCGGCGCCGCGGCGTGGGCAAGCATGGAGCATGGCTTGCCGGCTTTTCTCTCTCTCTCTCTCTCTCTCTCTTCCTCCTGTCTCTCTCCCTTTCACTCGTGCGCAATATAACACATATACGCAAGTTCGCGCATTCACTCACATTCTCTCATTCAGCAGGCCGCGCGCACGCGTGACGGTGCTGACTACCGACGGGTCTCTCTCTCTTTCTCTCTCTATCTCTCTCTTTCTCTCCCGGCTCTCGTTCCCCGCGCGCGCGTAGAGTGAGACGCTCTCCTTCCATGTGCGGGCTCGAAGACGGAGTCCTCGAGCCGCGCACTCATCCGTTCGCCCGTTCGTCCATCGTCCATCCGAGACGCCGTCGAGCGTGGCGAATCCCCGTGAGTCGTGCAAGTTTACCGAGTGCGTCGTCGTCCGCGAATCTACCTTCCGTTCTCGCGATAACGGTACCCCGGCCGATCGGTGGACTCCGCCGCTGTCGCCGCCGCCACAGCTGGTTCGCTCCGTCCACGACACGGCGGCTCGTCGGCGCGGCGAGCTGGCGTGCAACGTGGACGGGATTCACGCACGCGTTTCGCACGTTTTTCCGGTCGTACTCCGCCGTGCGCGAATACGCGAAATCGCCCTTTGGTCGTGCGAAGCGCGGCTCACGTCGAGTGTCAAGTCCCCGAAACGCCGTACACGTGCGCGTTCCCGTCGCGCTCCCTTACCCCCGCGGTAACATAACCTAGAATAAAAGCGCGTGGCAGCGCGCTCGAATATGTTAGTCGCGTAAGCTCTGTCGGCGTATGAGTAATCTCTTTTTCAGTTTTTCTCAAGTGTGTCGTTTGTGTGCGCAGCTATTCATACGTGATCGAGCGACGCGCATCGAATGGGAAACCCGTGCCATGGAAACTAGTTTCAGTGGATTTCCCTACGACTACGCTCGACCGTATGTCGATTCTTCAATTCTTCTTACTAATGACCGATCCCTGGAGGGTCCGATTGGACCAAATTTTCTCTTTCCCGAGGAGGAACTCTTTCCCGAACACGAGCTTCAAGCCGTGGAGAGAGGCGAGGTAAGGCTTTTTTTTTTGCATGAAGTCATTATCGCTCGAACGACGTGCTTATGAACATCTAGAGATAGTGGTGGGAAAAAATTAATTTCCGCGCTTATCGCGACGATTTTGATATCGCTGTCAAGAAACGGGGCTAGTGCTCTTGCCCTAAATGCCATCTGGCATAGCAGTGTTGCAAAAGAGCTGTTGTGTTAACATATTCGTAATAAAGGATTAGTCAGAATTAGTCTTCTTTGAATATAATGAAAGTACCTATATTTTTGAAAGTGATTGTTACATTTTTTTTTAACAAGACCATTTTTCGAAGGACTCCGTTTATTTTCTATATTTATTTAATGCATTTCGACTTAAATTGATATTTGTGCTATTATTTTTTTAATTCTTTTTTAATTCTTCCTATTAATTTTCCTGTATTTACGAACAGAAATTATACGCAAAAAAGAAAACATAAGTATATGAATAAAACATCTTGTGAGTAATAATTATATATTTTATGTATAATTAGATATGTATATATATATTTATTTATACATGTTTTTATATGCAAAATTTTTTTCGCATGCCTTGTGATTGTAAACAGGAATCTTGTACCCTCATAAGGAAATGATAAAGCATTCATTCATATATTTTAGTACTTTCATATATTTTTATTCATATATTTTATCTTGACATTTATAGTCTTAATATCATCTTAATGAAAAATATTTTTTATCGATTAAAAATATTATTTTTATTGACGTTTTATATTAACATTTACAGATATTTTCATTAATACTTTATAGTTGTAGTGTCTTATATTTGTGGAATGTACAATTTTAATACATTTTTTATTTTTGATATAAACTTTTGCACGCGTCGGAATAAGATCAGAAATAGAATTTATAATTGTGATGGTATAATTTAAAAACTTTCGTTAGACTTGCGCAGTCGTATAGACGCGTTGTCTAATCTGATCAGCGCAATGACTATCGTCTGTGAAAAAATAATACTGCCTACGTGACTTTTTCTGGAAAAGCACTTTTTGGCTTCGATTGTTCCGTATCATTATTCTATAGAGCTTGGACCAACAAGCTCTATAAATACATATTATTTCCAGAAGAATTTCAATATTTATTCAAGAAGTTACATAAATAGTTGTACATTTAAATTTTGGCACAGTCTTTTATCTCTCCTGAAAACTTTGCTTAATTGTCACATAGGCGGTATTTTTTATTCATATGTTCAACATCTTTTTTTTCTCTTGATATCCCGACATGTCTTAACATTTTATGTAGCTCGAAGAGTGTGCAGGAAACAATCTATTAAAAAAATATATATAAGTAATAAATAAGTAATAATTAAATAATTTTTAGTCGTTTTACATCTTTCTGCTTAAATTCGAATTTCTAAAATTATTGTTTCATACATTAACAGCTATCAAAATATGTATAAAAAGATACAACATATTACTGATAAAATAAAAGCGTTCCCCTAATATACTGTGTAATTGTTTGAGTGAAATATTATTTTTTTAAGTTTGCGTACTATTAATCACTGTCCGAATGACTTCAACGAAGCATAAGGTCGTTCAATTTCTCTTTATTTAAATAGTATCTGGATAAAGAAAAGCGGGATTTTTCAAAGTTTCAGTAATGGTGAAAGTTAAAGTGGTCTACAGAATAAATAAAAGAAAGAAAATTTTGAAAAGCAATCGATACCATAGGTATAATAAGGTTTCTAGTTTAGTAAATTTGAAAGAATATGAAAGGAAAAGGAATTCGTCGGTATCTAAAATTTCAAAACAGTCGGTATTTAAAATTCCTTTTATCTAGATACCTAGAAGCCTGTCTTTCCTTTTATTCTTTTATTACCCCTACAACTTTCATTGTCATCATTAAGACTTTGAAAAATGTTTTCCAGATCTTTATTCAGATACTATTGTCTTCAATAGCGAAAGTATTTTCCAGACATAGTTTATAGGGGCTATATAAGTGAAAGGCATGTTAATAATAATACAAAAATAATAATCCTTTGTCTGAAGTTAAAACTATGTACCCGACATCGTATTTCACTCAGCAACTTGATTGTCGTATTATGTTTGACGTAGATATTTCTAAGAATTATTGTATCTTTTTGTATTATTATAAATCTTGAAAAATGACAGGGTATCATAACAAAATGTAGTGTTTTCAGAAATAAAGGGCTTTTATTTCATTATTGAGTTGTTGGAACGAAACGTTGAATTTATTGCAGACGGTTAATATTTATGAATTTTTAGTGACAATTGTTAAAATTGTATTTAAATAAGTTTTTTGCAAACAGAAGTACATATTTAAATAGACAATAACGAAATTTGTTTAAAGAATTTAAACAAATGAGAGTACAATCTTCGAGGGGTGAGTGCTGCGAGGTAGACCTATACACATATTTCTTACAGATTATAGATACATATTTCTTAGAAACGTTCGGCTAAAACTGATCATGTTTGAGACACAAAATATTGAATTTTTTTTTCTTTATTGAGATAGAAAGTCCCAATTTTTCCATCGTCACTCTGTACACAATTTCGACTCAATGATATAAGAAGCTTATAGAAATATATTTTAATGGTCAAAGGGACAAAAAAATCCAAGGGTTTTATACCTGCGTGCCGATTCTGATTGTTCGAACTAAACTTTGTTATCTTCAAGAATTTTAAGATGAAATTTTCTGGACTAATTTTATTTGAAGAATATTTTTATAAAATTGATTGTTTTATCTCAGCTAAACGTAGTCCTTCAATTAAACACAAAAATCAAAAATTTGAAAACATTAGGTATCATGCTAATTATAATTATAAACGATACCAGTCAGTCCTCTAATGATTCGAAATAAATTCGGGAGTTTTTTCGAGAATTAAGCGTTAGTGATAAACTTCCATTGATTGCTTAATACGTTGAATGCTGTGTCGATCACCTGTGACCGACACTTTAATTTTCAATGACGCCACGGTGATTGGACGCTGCCGCGTCGGTGATTGGTGTTTCCAAAACAATCCAAACTCAATAAAAACGCACAAAACCTACAAGTGACATTTGTAATTTAGTAAATATAATTAATACCAAAGTAATAGTCTAAAGTAACAAACGTAATTTTGCATAATTCAATTATATTATGCGATATTTTATCAAGATGTGGAATAGAGAAATTTTCATTCTAGCACAGATATAGAGACGAGCCGAATTAACTTCGTCACTCAAAGCGTTAATAATTTAATGACATATTACTGATGCGCAACGATGGCATATTGCCGATGATATCAGGAAGATAATAAAGAATATTTTTAATGAAAAAATACTAAATTTAAAAAGTTACCGAATTTATTGTGCCGAAAAAAATATAAATTTATTCTTTGTAGCATTACGTTATATGTATTTCGTACATTAAAGAAAAGTATATAATTAGATCTTAGAGAGAGAAAAAGTGAGGTTTTTTAATCTACTGAAGATATAGAAAGTAAACTCATCTTATTTGTTTAATAACATAATGTATAGTCGCGGACAGAAAGGTTATCCAAAAGGTTGTCCGACTTTGAGCCGTATTCATAGTATGAATACGGGTGTATAAGTCGGACAAGCTTTCTGTCTACGAGTGTACATGCACACTTTCGCACACTCTCGCTCTAAATCAATCTATCGATTGCATACTCTGTGTCGATTCTAGATTCTTGTATACATACTATATTGAATATATCTTTCATTCGCCATTAGTACACGAAGCACATTGCATTGTCTGATTTTATCCCTGCTAAAATCCTGCACCATCAGAAATGGATTTTTTCCAGATGAATTCTCACGCAAGGTGCCTATCACGTAGTGCGTCTTGTTTAATATCTCGCATATAGCGATATAACTCTTTTCAAATCAGAAACTTTTACTTCGCTGGTGAATAATTAATAATGACATTTTTTATTTGATTTAACTGACTATCTTCATTTATGCAGGAGAGATACCCAATGTTTGTAGGATATAAAGAACTATGTTTAATATGGGATGAGAATAATACAGAACGCAAGAAACACACTTGCTCGATCGACGCTGAGGCTGAGCCTCGTACAAACTCCGAAACTACGCACGACGCGAAACGTTCAGCTCGGCTTCTCGATCGAAGGCTTCTCTGTTACTGCTGCCTGGGCCCTGGGCAACGAATGCCCTTTGCTCGCTTGCTTCCAAAAAACGACTCTCTACAAATTAACACTCTGTTGTCATTAGACGATCGACTCTCTAATAGATTCTTTGCATGGCAACACAGCATCGCGACACGCGACACACACACACACATCTTCGCTAACACAACTCGTAACTACGCACACTTCTTGACAACACACATACTCGACAACGCACATCTCGATATTTTTAATACTACATTTATTATAATCGTCACGACTTTTCGTGACGATTAGGAAACATAGATTTCGGTTCTTCTCAATCGAGTTAACTTTTGATGCTAATATATGTATACAAGCATCCTTTTTAAAATCACTGTAAAGCATTTAGTGCGAAAAATATTACTCCCTTCCCTCCCAACCAGGGGATAACTCTTTCACCGATATTTAAATTGTGCAAGCACGTTCAGATATCGATAATACACGGAGAAAATTTTATAGTAAATATTACTATGGTGTCGCACTAGCTGCGGACCATCGAAGAATTTCAAGTTAAAATACTATAATTATTGTTTTAAAAACGATAAAATAACGTAATTTTTACCATAAACATAGTAATTTAACTTAAAATTCCTCGATGGTCCGCAGCTAGTGCGACACCATAGTAATATTTACTATAAAATTTTCTCCGTGTACCCATCGTCGCGCTTAAATACACAAGTTACCTGCAGCACCCTTTGAAATAATCGTGTTAGCACGGTTGTCACGAAAATTCGGAAGACATTTTTTATTCTTTTTTATAGAAAATATTTTCTTTAAAAGATATTCCTTTTTATAAAAGATAGGTATTTCTTTTAAAATATATTCTATTTCACAA